TCCTAACCTGTCCTCTTCTTTTTCCGGCAAGCAATAAGGCTGTGTGTATCGTTCGTATCAACGTTTTTCACCAGTTGTTGTCGCATATCCCCTTCAACAACACCTGGAGAACAGGCTGGCGGTGCGCCAAACGGCCTGATACGCCCCGTCATCCGTAGCGCCAAATCCACACTCGGTTATTCCCCTTTCCCGGTATACTAGTCAAAGCTATATTGGTTTTCATGACTCGAATGTAGAACAGGGGCTTAGTTAGGGGGACAAAGCTGGGCTTTGTGATATTTTGCGTCCGTAGAAATCTTCACTGACAGTACACAATTGTAGGAATGAGCAAAATGAGGGAGTAGTTGCGTAGAATGAACATTGATGTCTTTTTGAAAGGCACTATTGCAGCTGCATTGAGGCCTGAATTTTTTCCGTGCAATATAAAGCGAAAATTAAGAGAACCAACGCCTTCATAAGATGGGAATGTCGTAGATGAGATGAACCATATCCATGTACTTGATATTATTGTCCTTGTCCGTCCGTACTCCATAATAGATGAGTGGGAAGAAATAACTTGTTCTCAAAAAATGTCATCGTTGGATATTCAATCTTGATTCCGTGGGTTCTCTCGTAACTGGAACACTGATGATAGCGACAATAATGGGAGTATACTATTTCATTTGATTAGTAATAATCGCTGGCTTTTACCTTTTTACTGAAGAACGAATCGAAAAATATGTCAGCGATAGTATTACTGAATGTACACTTTTTGAGTTTGGTACATACATCGCGACCGAAATTCACCTGAAAAACGTAAGAACGTGAACGTGAAAAGTTCGTCCTTGAATCAATAGAGAGGCAGTGGAAATTAGAGCGATGGAAATAGAAGTTCATTTAAATTTAACCTGCTCAAACCCCTCTGCTGTTACATAGACAATCTTCTTTTTTACCCTTTTTCTTCATAAAAAATGCTCTAAAAATTCTGCTTTGTAGTCATTCACTGCGACTACTGCTCTGTGGTATTTCCCTAGGCGGGTGATCAATCTTGAATTTACAGTCTCACAAGTCACGCTAAGAAATTCGCATTTGGTATTTCACTAGTTCACTTGGTGCTCAGTGCTGTTTGCGCAGATTAATGAGGGTGCAGTCTTGTTCGTTGTGGATGCTGGGGCATGCCGGGGAGGGGAGGGGGCTGAATCAGAGGGTGCAGTCTTAATTGTGCAGTTCGGCGACGGGGTGTGGGGAGGGGGTTTTGCTCTTTTGCTACTTCTCATCGACGTGTCGACCCATCTGGACAGCCTCTTCTCGAGTTGACAGGTTTTACCATGATGGCTGAACGAGCTTAGCTCCAACTTCACAAGAGCTTACAGGTTTCACCAGAGTGAGACATGTAAACCGAAACCACTGAAGCAGTGAAAGTGCAAAATGCCCTGGAACAAGAGTATGTGCTGCAGGCAGAGACAGCACCCTTTGTCCTTCTATAGCCTTTCGAAGCCGAGTACAAGTCAATGCTTTTTCCTTCCAGGCGATTTTGTGCCTCTGCCCGCAATGGACTGATGGCTTGGTTCCTTCTTGCGCCTGGGTCAGGCGAGCAGTATCAGGACTCAGAGCCCGCGTGTGTGTATTAGCGGATCATTCTGCCTCCTTGCACCTCCTTCGCCCAGCAAGCTGCAAATAAGGCATTTGATCACAGATCGTGCGGAGGGGTTGCACGAGGGCAGGCGAAGTTGAGCGCGGCCAGCGGCGTTTTACCAGCGGCTCTTCTTTACCTGAACCAGCCGCTATTAGTAGGGAAAATAGCCCTGTGGATTCTCATTTCGCCTTCTTGCACGAGGGCTACAACTACAAAAATGGCAGAAACTCCGCTGGTGGTTAGCACTTCACCTTCTGTTTCACCAGACTTCAAGATTCGTGGCGCATGTCATGTGGGGAGGAATTTAAAGCTAATCATGCAACGTAAGCGCCGTCAGGTATTACTACTCCTGGCGACAGGTCTAGACGATGGTATTACCAGTGCATCAAGACCTGGAAAATGAGGTCTGGACTTTGTATGCTTCAAGATAGCCTAGCGTATTGAGTGACGACTGTGCATTCGAGCTGGCAATAATTAGGTACCTTGAGGGGTGATTTCTCATCTGTGCTTTTCCTGCTGCTCCATCCGCCTTTTCAAAATTGTCTAAAGGAAGTCCTCGCCAACGTATAATAGGCACAAAAACCCTCTCAATTATTCGAAATTGTAGACTACCTTGCCCACTCCCACCGCCTTCCCTGTCGGCGGTGAATGATTTTACTATTTTCAAAGGTTCTTAATATGGTGCTGTCCCGGAGCCTCATTGTAATCTGAACATGAAACACGTGAAAGAGGCGCCAAAAAATTTATTGCAAAAAACTCAAAAGACTCAAAAGAATCCAAAAGTTCTTGCAAAAATTTTTTTGTTTCTAATACTTCCTTCGAATATTTCGGTGCCTAGCACCTTCCTCAGCGACTGAAATTACTATAGTTAGTCATCTGCACACGAATCCCGGACATGCTTAGGCACCGAAATATTCGAAGGAAGTATTAGAAACAAAAATTTTTGCAAGAACTTTTGGATTCTTTTGAGTCTTTTGAGTTTTTGCAATAAATTTTTGGCGCCTCTTTCACGAGTTTCATTTTTCAAAGGTGTTTATCCCCCTCCTGCTCCCAGTTCAGTGCAAAAACTGTGCATGCGTGTACACTGTAGGGGAATCGCTCGGCAGGGAACCATTTGTTCTCTCCAGCACAGTTGGGGACGAATATGAAATACGAATAATGAGACCTGATGTGCGGGCAAATTGGGTAAGGAACGTGTATACAAATGTAGAGGTATGACTGAAACCGACTTTGATTCATGCCGAGAAGGCCTCACGTTCTAAATCATTTTTGGAACAAAAGCTATTCCAAAACCAACAGCCTTTGTCACGATTTTATCTTGCTATTAGCTTCATCTTTATATTCGCAGTAGCTGATGCGCTCTCCAAAAATGAGAGGGCGAAGGGTTACGATGCTCGCTTGGGTCACCTGCGTGATTTTAGGTGAATTCTTTGAATTTCTTCACTTATTAACATTACGTTTACCACGTGCAATGATCCTCACCTCTTGCCCATTAAGCGTCAGAGTCAGGTTTTCCATGATGTACTTGTTCAGCCTGCGTATCAACCGGCATTTCTCAGGATGAAGCAGATTCTTGTCGTGATCCATTGACTCCAGAGTCACAGAAACGAATGAGCTGGAATTCCAAGAAGGTTGGTTAACAAAATTAGTCTGCTTGATCATGCAGTAACCTAAAGCTGGGTAATTTTCTGGACACAGTTTTCCGTTAGAGTGGGGTCTCCTCGCAGGTTCCCTCGCGTGGGAAGTCGATTATCGTTCCGTCAGCAGCGTAAAAGTGGGTTGGGTTGGCCTACCAGCGATGACGTTCTTTCCTTACACTGAATGTGAAGAATGAAAAGCTTCCCCAATGTATCCTATGTTGTTCGATAGATAAATCAATGCTCTAAAAAGTGTTTTCTCAGTTTGCTACTCTCTTTCGATTTTGTTAACTTTCGCGAAAAAGGGACAGTTTCTTAGCTGGGGAGATGGACTACTTGCTCAAAGGAGGACGGCCACGAATTACTTGAGCGCGGGGCTCTCTTCGAAGCAAGCCTTTACTGCATGTCTAACGGGTCCCTGACTGAATAACCCTGAACAAAGATAAGGAGAAAGAAGGCGAAATAAAAAGGAATACGAAACTTTGCTCATAAAGTAAAAAATAAAAAGCATTTTTTATGCAGCTGGAAAGTTTTAAAATGTCAAACGTATTATCTGACGAGCAATCTAACCTGTTCGATGTATCTCCAGAAAAATTCTTGTGTATCTGATATTCTAGCCTCGATCGCGAATGTTCTGGAGAATATAAAAACCGAAGATCATCCTCAAATATGATCGAGCACTCAGAAGCTCAACGTATTATTGATGTTGTCGATTAGTACCTACCTCCATTCTCACGTTGAATGCACCGAATGCAAGAAAGAACGTTAGAATAAGAGGGCCAAAAGCAAATGCTCTTGGATGATGGCTGATAAAGAGCCCATAATTATAGAAGCACCTGGCCAGAAAATCTTGAAGAACTCCAAATGGGTTCACGCAACCCAGCATTCTGAAAAATATTCCAATTAGTGAGTGCTGAGAAAACTGGACTAATATGCCACAACTTTACGGTATCACAAAAGCAGCACACAAGTTCGTTCAGTAGGAAAGAGTCGATGGAGCGATTAGGAAGAGAGTGGCGCAGCCTGACTGGAGAAGACCTTTGGAATTCATGTCACCTCCAAACAGCTGCGAAACTTCTAGTATGGAGTCACCCATGGATAGCTACCTGGAGACCAGTACTCTCGATCTGGAAGACCTCCAACATCGAGCAGCTCCGACAACGTCGCTACGGTCTAGGACATCATCTTCACCACAGTCGCCAAGCGCGGGTTGATGGTATGGACCGGACGTACCTGGAATGGAAAGACCAATATTTTCTTCGTGGACCCCGACCTGAGTGAGCGCTGTGCTGGTTACATCGAGGCAACATCGAAAAAGTCCTCTCCCTACATGTCGTCGCCGTCCCGTAACCAATCTTGGAAACTTAGGGGGGGGGGGGGGGGGGGGGGGGGGGGGGGGGTGTACTGCTACAGGTTCGGGTGCACCAAATGGAATCGAGGGGCGTTGGAAAAACTCTCGCCTACTTGGAATGAAAGAGCTTTGAGTACCTGGAAAAGACGAAATATACAAGTGTGTCCACTGACCTAAACCCTCCTCGATTATATGGTCCGAGCAGAGCTCAACAGGGTGGTCTACAGTGGCGGAAGGATCACGATCTTCGAACTCAAGGTACACGCGGATCATGGTCCGCGTTGCAGTATTCTCTTAATAACGCTCTCCGGGAAGCTGTGGCAGTTGTAGGCATAACAGGATTCGCATATGCTTTTCAAATAATGGTGTTATGAAATGTCCGATAGAATTTTAATAAAGGAACTTCTATGCTCCTCGAATGTCAAGGAAGAAAAGGACTAGCTCCCCCCCCCGCGCCGTAGCTGCGCCCAAGAGAAGTGTGAAGGGAGGAACCACATCGCATTTCTCAGTCCCTCTTTCCTTCAAACAAGGAAACTGAGAGGGGTTCATCGACGAGAAAAACATAGTGGGGGAAACGAGAAAAACATAGGGGCCATTTCCTTTTTTTTCTTTCACCCATCCGATTAACTAGCAATGTCTCTCTATATAGAGTAAAAATAAGGCGACAATGAAGGAATTTGGGGGAAGGGAAAAACCGACATTTTTCTCCCTTTCTGTCCAATGCCTTGTAACGCCCCTTTCATGCACTTCCGAGTGACGAAAGTCAGGATCTCACTTCGCAAACAGCCTCAAGTAGAATCTCGAAGGATCCCAGACCACAGGCATAGTCTGCGTTTGGATTAAGTGACGGATACCCATACTGCCTGCTACAGATAGAAGGAGCACAGACGGGTAACGTAGTCATTTTCTAAAGAGACGAAGCAATAAATCGACAAAACGCAAAGTTTAAATCAGGTGCAAGCTGTTGGTAATGAATCGCCATTACATTCAACAGCGCACAGTAAAAACAAGGAAGGGTGTCAGAACAATAATGGGCACCACTCAATAATCATTTCCCCTCACCTGCCAATAAGTGAAGGACTGAACTTGCCAAGTTCCTTCGGTTTCAGTTTTAAGTGCGCGAAAAAAATAAGTGGGCGAGTTGGTAGGTCCTTTGGCATGAAGTCGGCACCCCAGCACCATCACTACCACCTTGAAGGTACGAACGCGTTAAAAAATGGTCAGTTTTGCGGCTCAAATACTGATGACAGGATGGCGGATAACAAGTCAACAAAAACCAGAAAATAAACCGTCTCTACATATGAAACCCCACGCCGAACTGTAGGTACACCAGGGGAAGGAGGAGCAGAGTCGCACGAATTCTCGCCTGTGAAGCCCCCTAATCACCTCAATTTCACCATTCAAACGGAGAGAGTTAGTAGCGAAACAACCGCACCACCAGGATACCTTTCGGAGTGAAAGTTGGACGCTGCCGTGGCCAATGGGTGGGACCGTCTGCGCTTTTCTTACGTATTTCTGAGCTACGAAAGTAGTACACTCTCCATGCCTGCAGGGCAGAACTACCTCGCCCAAGGA